ACCCAGTTTTTCTACGGAATCACTGTGATGTTGCTGCTGTGGCAGACCGGGCCCTCTCGAGGTACCAGAGATCCCCGCTTTATCCTTGCCACAGTCTCGGATTTAGAACGGCAGTTTCACTTTGGAGAGTGTGATGTGACTATAATAGGAAATCTGAGCTATTGTCTTCCAGGAGCAAATGAAAGCGCAGAGTCCTGTATCCTTCGAAAGAATCCTTATTAATGCACTTCCTTTTATTACAGCCTTGCTTTTCATCCAGTCTTGCCTTTATTTGGAGACGTCTAAGCTCTTTAGAAGAAAGACAAGTAAATGTCAATACTTCTCACCAAGAGTCACTTCCGTGTTCATATATTTAGAGAAGGGCTTCCTCCAAAAATAGAATTATTATTATTATTTGCACTCTGTACAACTTCCAGTTTTTTTCCGTGATTGAGACTGGAAAAACACTTTAGGCAATAAAGCGTTGGTTTGCATGCGGGTTTGTTTGTGTCACTGACACCAGTCCCTCAAAGTAGACCTTGCCTTGAAAATATTGGCTTCCTTCTATAACCTTCCTCTTCTTCCAGGGCTGTGAGAAGCTGGAACGGTTGTGTTGCTTTCTGGTGATGTATGAGTCAGACCAGTGCACAGATTGACTTCTATATAATTTTAACCGTCAACAATTCCCCACGTTGAGTCCCTAGGTGTTCTTGGACTACAACTCCCAGAAATCCTGGCCAGCCCAGCTAGGGATGAAGGCTTCTGGGAGTTGCAGTCCAAGAACATCTGGGGACCCAAGGTTGGGAACCTCTGCTTGTTGATGCCTCTTTTTTTGTTGTTGTTGTTGTGTGGAACTTGGCTAACGTATGAATCTCCTTTGTACTAAATTAGATTTCGGTCTAGCCCCAATGGGGGCAACATATAGTCCATGGGCTGCAGGTGTCAGCACCCCCGGAGATGTGTGGAATATTTTTGAGGAGAGATATTTCAAGTTTCAGCCTACCAAGGAGGAATAGGGAGCTGTTTTTCTAAGTTTTGAGCCTCTCCCTATTTTTTTTCCCCCACATCCAATTTTGAAATATATATTTTTTCTGGTCACTAGAGGGGTCTCTCTACTTTTCCCCACATCCAATTTTAAAATATATATTTTTTCTGGTCACTAGAGGGCGCATGGGAGATCATTTGGTTTTAAAACACCATTTTTTGTCAGAAGTGGGAACCTTCATTGAGATG